AGACTGTGGCTGCAGTAAGCCAAGATTATACCACTGGACTCCAGCCTCAGCAACAGTGCAAGACCCTGTCTCAAATAAATAAATAAAAAACAACAACAACAACAAAAAATAAAAGCAGCTAGTTCAGCTTGCGATTCAAACAAGTGCCCATGTACTTTCCCTCAAGGCCACACCCATCACACTTCAGGCCCAGCAGCAGTGCTGTGTGCACCCCTCCCATGCTGTCTCACGGAACATTAAAAGGCAAGGGCTGAGATTTAATCACGTGAACAGTTTTATTATTTCAAGACCATTCTTAAGCGATATGAGCCTTTATCGCCCCCTGTGAGTAGGTGACAGTAAAGAATGCAGTGGCTACTAGTAGAGTCTGGTGCCACAGCCTGGAATCACGTGAGGGTGCCGGCAATTTTACCCATCATTGCTTTTCACCATCAGTCAATGTCAACAGTACAAGAGACTCATACCGTATGATTATGAAAATGGTTTAGATCCTGAGGACCCCCTCGAGAACCGCTGCCCTAACAAAAGCGGCACCTCGGAACGAAGCCATTCCTCCCTCAACTCTGCAGCCAGCCAACCGGGATTATTTAAATACTTCTGAAGCGCACATGAAAGCTAAGGCTCTTCAGAATATATCTTCTGACTTTTCCTCCGAAACACAAGGCCAAAAAAAGGATGGTCAGCAGCAGAGACTGTTAATTAAATTTACAGTGTGTATCTCGACACCAGTCCTATAAGGTAATGACGCTGGAGAAAGAGAAGGCAATGGGGATGCGGGCTCAAGGGCAGTCAGAGCCAGTAAATCTTGGCAGGCAAGACAGAGTGGAGCCAGCGCTAGGTGTGTCTGTGCGAGACTCAATTAGGCTCCCCCTCGGAGGATGCAGTGCAGCTGTGAGTCTCAGTGACCGAGGACCTGAGAGAAGCCACAGCGTGTGACAGGAGAGACAAAGACATGGCTAAAGGACAGTGGGCAGCTTCGGCCTCAATGCTTTCCTTTAGATTTCCCTCAGGTTTGGTCAAAAGGAATCCAGAGACAAAGAAATAAAAGCCAAAAAAACACTCTCTGAAAGCTACATTCACCCCAAATGCAGGAAGAAAAACTACAAATAGCATTTCTCTCACTTGCAATTACTGGGCCTGGACTGCATCTAAACTAAAATGAGATTCTTTGCCATAGTGGCTTTTGTTGTTGTTTTGAGATAGGGTCTGGCTCTATTGCCCAAGCTGCAGTGCAGTGGTACAATCTCAGCTCACTGTAGCCTTGATCTCCTGGGCTCAAGTGATCTTCTCACCTCACTCTCCCAAGTAGCTGGGACTACAGGTGTGTGCCATCAAGTCCGGCTAATTTTTGTATCTTTTTGTAGACGTGGGGTTTTGCCATGTTGCCCAGGCTGGTCTGCCATAGTTTTTTTTATGGTTTTTGGTAGAGATGGGATGTTGCTATGTCACCCACGCTGGTCTCAAACTCCTAGCCTCAAGCAATCCTCCTGCCTTGGCCTCCCAAAGTGCTAGGATTACAGGCATGAGCCACCATGCCTGGTCTAAAAATGAGATTCTTAAGACCAAAGTGGCCAGATGAAGTGGCTCACACCTGTAATGACAGCATTTTGGGAGGCCCCATGAGGCAGGAGGATGGCTTGAGGTTAGGAGTTCAAGACCAGCCTGGGCAACACAGTGAGACCTCATCTCTACAAAAACTTTAAATTAAAAAAAATAAAAGCTCACATTACTGTCAACGCCATGAAATGAGTTACTGGAATAATGAGCCTGAGAACAGGGAAGAGAATGTCAGGCTCTGCCCAGCAAAGCTTCCAAATCTAATAGGAGACATTACTGCCCATGGCCTTTGTGCTCCCAGTCGCCTCCAGATCTCAGGAGAAGTGAACTGTGGGGGCACAGAGGCCAATGGGGCCACAGATCTCAGAACCAGCGACTAGCAGCGTGCTCACTCCCACTTTCCTGCGAGCTCCATAGCACATAGCCGCCCTGCAGTCACACCTGAGGTCGGCTCCAGCACAGAAGGCCATTCCTCAGACCTCTCTGCAGGGGAGGCTCCAGCTGGGAACATGGCTGCTCTGGCTCTGGCAGTGTCGCAAGCGTAACCATTTTTCAGGGTACAGAGTGATGCCCAAAAGCATTTCACAGCCTCAATCAGTTCAGGGAAAAGACCATGAACCAAAACGACAATCTCGTTCTAATCTGCTCTGTCCCTCTTTCAGAGGATTTGTGACATTTGCTGATGAGAAATGGGTGCTTCCTTAGCAGATGTCTTCCTAAGAATGGGGAATGTGAACCCTGGTTTACCTATGCGACTTCCTGCTCTTAGATTTCGCTCTCTGCTGAAGAGGTCCTATGCTGTCACCTGGTGGAAAAAATGAGAAACTGCCTTGTGTGCTCAGGCCATGACAAAAGCATTCCTGTTAAAGGAAGTTACCCTTTACTACAGATGCTGGGGGACAACGCTGACCCTGCGCTGCCTCACCTGCTGTGCCATCTACTCCAGAGAGAGCACCTTACTAAGATCCTCAGCTACCAACCAACCTCAGGTGGAATAAATTGTCCCAGCGGCAGTCACCACGGCCACCCCACACTTGCTGAAGCGAGATGGAGGACTGAAGAGGCAGGTGAGTCAGGAGGACAAAGCAGGGGCCGGGGAGGATGCGAAGAAGGGAGGAATTCATCAAGGGGCAGGATCGAGCAAGGAGAAACACACAGGTAAGCCTCGCCAACAAAAAACATTGCCCTTGGGATTTTTACACATTTTTAGCCAAACAGCCGGAAGAACCAATGAGAAATACAGAAGTTTACAAGATAATAAAGTTAAATGGTCTCATCGCGATATGTTAAAATAAGAAAAAGCCTACCTGTTCACCAAGTTACAAATACAATAAAACTACCTTCTTATATAACATGGATAAAAGAAAAATAAGGACAAGAATATCTCCAAACAGGCTGGGCGTGGTGGTTCACACTTGTAATCCCAGCACTTTGGGAGGCCGAGGCAGGTGGATCTCTTGAGGTCAGGAGTTCGAGACCAGCCTGGCCAATGTAGTGAAACCCCATCTGTACTAAAAACACAAAAATTAGCCAAGTGTGGTAGCAGGCACCTGTAATCCCAGCTACTTGGGAGGCTGAGGAAGGAGAATCGCTTGAACCCAGAAGGCAGAGGCTCCAGTGAGCACAGATCGCACCATTGCACTCCAGCCTGGGCAACAAGAGCAAAATTCCGTCTCAAAAAAAACAAAAAAAAAAGAATATCCCCAGTTATTCCCAGAGGTGGATTTGTACTTCCTACCTTGGGTTCCTCTACTGATGGCAGGGTGCTTTACTGCGCTCCAAGAAAGGCTATGTAGCCAGGCTAGAAGCAAAAGCTCTGTGACTCCTGCTTAAACCCACTGAAAAGAACCTATCACAAGAGGACACTCCAGAGGTAAAAGAAGGGAACCTGGTATCTTTGAGGGAAAAAAAATGAGAAAATGAGAGAAGGGCTATTCCCAGGACTAGAAAGAAAACAAAGGCTGGTGCAGGTCGTAGAAGCTGAGTGGGCCTTGCTGGCCTCTGAGCACTGACCAAGGCTCCTAGCCTGGGTGAGCCTTGCACACAGGCTTCCCAGGAGCAAAAGTTACTTGAGCCTGGACAGCAGGAATGCCGTACTATCTGTTCCAGGCCCAAACTGGCGAGATCCTCCAGAATACTGTGCCCTAAATAACAACCTAGGGCTGACCCTGGCTTGAAGCCTCAAAGTCATGTTTAATTCAACTTAAATAAATAATGTGTTATTAGTTGTATACCAGGTTGATGAAATAAGATTTACAGTTACTATGCATTTCCCAAATTTTCTAAAATGAAGCTACATTGGCTTTATAATCAGAAATAGGGTCAGCAACAAAATTTTATTAATAACAAAAACCTATTTTATTTATTATTCATAACCTGCCTTAAAGAATGTTAATATCCACACTGAGTGTATGATACCATGGATCCACAGACCATTCTGAGCTTTCAGAGAGACAGTGGTACTCCTTAAACCCTTGTGGTCTGAAATTCCCACTTGTGCCAGGCCGGGCGCGGTGGCTCAAGCCTGTAATCCCAGCACTTTGGGAGGCCGAGACGGGCGGATCACAAGGTCAGGAGATCGAGACCAGCCTGACTAACACGGTGAAACCCCGTCTCTACTAAAAAAATACAAAAAACTAGCCGGGCGAGGTGGTGGGCGCCTGTAATCCCAGCTACTCGGGAGGCTGAGGCAGGAGAATGGCGTAGACCCGGGAAGCGGAGCTTGCAGTGAGCTGAGATCCGGCCACTGCACTCCAGCCTGGGTGACAGAGCAAGACTCCGTCTCAAAAAAAAAAAAAAAAAAAAGAAATTCCCACTTGTGCCATGGCAGCCTGTGGTCATGAACATTATTCAAATAAGCCCAGAACCACACAAAACATTTTCTTTGCAGCTTCTCTTCTGATTTAGGAGGCATAACTGGAAAATCAAGGAGATGTAAAAGGGCTATAAAGGGCACAACGATTTCAATATCAGGTAGTTTTCAAGGTTCCTTCTGTCATCAGAGTCTCGCTTTAAATGAATACCGACACATCTATTTTGAAAGTGTGTTAAGTCAGCAGGCAGGGCTGCTTTACACATAGCCATCTCCAATCCATTATCCCTCCTGTTCTCACAGTGAAGTGTCATCTGGCCCTTCCAAGACAAGATTTTCTCTTCCTGACTCAGTTTTGAGAAGGTGAAAATCACAATCACAAGTGGAAATGAAATGAATCATCTTAATAAGCAGCAGTCACCCCCAACCTCCTCCTTATACAACTGACTCAACACTTCCTTCTCCAAACCACCCCTGGCTGCTCTCACGAAGTGGGCCCCAGGCCTCCCCTAGCTCGCCTCCCAGGAAGACAGCATCTTGAGGCCACAGGCTGCCTCCACTCCTCTGCAGTGCCCCAGCACGTGGGTTCAGAGCAAGCTGAGCAACACAAAATGAGCACCAGGGAACTTGCCTTTTCCATCTGTTGCTGATGCTTCTTGTAAATGTCTGATTGACCTAAAAATAAACATTTAGAGAACAAAAAGTTAGCTGGCAAATCTGCACTCCTCTCTGTTTGCAGCTCTAGTAACTTGAGACTGAATTCCTCAATTATATGCTGAAAGGTTGGACTAGATCACTTTAGAGCACTCTCCCTAAAATAGGGGATGGTTGATAATCAACACGCCTGAGGTAAAGTCGCCCTCTGCTGGCCAAATCTGTGGCAGTAAGTCTAGCAGGGACCAGAGCGTGAGGAAAAAACAAAACTCCATCATTTAATGCTCCTGTTAATCTCTCACTCCCACAACCACCCCCCACCCAACACTCCCATGACGACGGAGCATCACCGAACTCACCTGCCACCAGGAAAGAATAAACCCAAGAAGAAAGTCACCAGCTGACTTCTAGAGTCTAGGTCTAAGAGCTGTGAATGTACAGCTCCATACAAACTCATTGAGTGGAGATTTTTAACATTGCTGGAAATGCCAGCCTCCAGGGACACTGTTTCGGGCTGTGATGTGCTGGTAACTAATGGCCATCGTTGCGGTTCAGGCAGAGGGACATTAACATCACTACAGAAGCCGCAGGTGCGAGGTGGAGGCACCATGAAAAGCCACCAACGGAGAGACTACCCTGAGGGCTAAGCAGGGCACAGGCAGACAGGCTGTGTGAGGGAAGGCAGCCGGGGTCTGACACTGTCACTCACTCTTGTCAGCAAATCAATTACTCTTTAAATCCTCCGTAATTTGCGCACCTGTGAGAGGGGCTATCTGCTTGGAAACTGAATGGACCACCACACGAAAGCTAACCAGTACACTGCTGGCCCTGAAGCAATGCTGGCTGAATCGGGATATTTACAAGTATTATTATTATTATTATTATTTTATTTATTTATTTATGTATTTATTTTTGAGACACAGTCTTGCTCTGTTGCCAGGCTGAGGTGCAGTGGCATGATCTTGGCTCACTGCAACCTCCGCCTCCTGGGTTCAAGCGATTCTCCTGCCTCACTCTCCGGAGCAGCTGGGACTACAGGCGCACGCCACCATCCCCAGCTAATTTTTGTATTTTTAGTTGAGACGGGGTTTTACCATGTTGGCCAGGATGGTCTTGATCTCTTGACCTCATGATCCGCCCGGCCTAAAAAATATTACTAATCTTGAATCACCACTCCAGTACTTACTTTTTTTCATTTTACAGTAATTTTTAGGATATTTACCTTAAGGAATGTTGCCATTTGGAATCTGCTTATTAGCGTTGTAATTAACAAGGGGCAGGAAATGGCTGCTTACACCTCGACAGCTTGTTGGTGTCCCTTACATTTGACTGTTCTGATAGTGGCATGTGTAAAAAGTAGGGCGTGGGCCAGGCGCAGTGGCTCACGCCTATAATCCCAGCACTTTGGGAGGCGTAGGCAGGCGGATCACAAGGTCAGGCGATCAAGACCATCCTGGCTAACACAGTGAAACCCCGTCTCTACTAAAAAAAATACAAAAAATTAGCTGGGCGTGGTGGCGGGCTCCTGCAGTCCCAGCTACTCAGGAGGCTGAGGCAGGAGAATGGTGTGAACCCGGGAGGTGGAGCTTTCAGTGAGCCAAAATCGCGCCCCTGCACTCCAGCCTGGGCAACAGAGCAAGACTCTGTCTCAAAAAAAAAAAAAAAAAAAAAAAAAGTAGGGCATGAACCTCTGTTCCCTAATGAGGTGCTCTTTTCGATCCTATGTTATAGATACCCGAGTGACTAATTCCTGTGCAGGACGGCAGGAGGCTGCAGTGAGGAGGAAGAGTCATTCATACTCCACTGGATGCGGTGGCTCATGCCTGTAATCCCAGCACTTTGGGAGGCTGGGGTGGGAAGATCACTTGAACTCAGGAGTTTGAGACCAGCCTGGGCAACATGGCAAAACCCTGTCTCCAAAAAATTGGCTGGGTATGGTAGAGTGTGCCTGTGGTCCCAGCTACCCAGGAGGCTGAGGTAGGAGCATCATTCATACTCTCTTCTATGCTGGTAGCTGTCTGGTGAACTGATACTAGATCATGTGTGATGTATGATGGAATTAGGGTGAAGAGTGAATCTAACTGGCTGGAATGAGAAGTACTCTCCACTGGCACCATCTTATAAATAATGAGAGTAACTGACAAACCCCTGGATCCTCAAAAATATTAATTTATTGGATGGCGCATTGCAATAAGAAGCACCTCAGCCAGGTGTGGTGGCTCACGCCTGTAGTCCCAGCACTTTGGGAGGACAAGGCAGGCAGATCACCTGAGGTCAGGAGTTTGAGACCAGCCTGGCCAAAATGGCAAAACCCTGTCTCCACTAAAAATACAAAAAAAAAATTAGCCAGGCATGGTGGCACACACCTGTAATCCCAGCTACTCAGGAGGCTGAGGCAGGAGAATCATTTGAACCTGGGAGGCAGAGGTTGCAGTGAGCCGAGATTGAGTCGTTGCACTCCAGCCTGGGCAACAAGAGCGAAACTCCATCTCGGGTTTAAAAAAAAAAAAAAAGCACTTCACTTCTAATTGAAGGCAGGGGTAAATCTATTTTCTTTAAAATTTATTTCAAAAGAATTGCATTCCAATAGCCATGGAATTAGATCACCAAGGGTGAAGTGTTTTATTGCTGCTAGCCTTCTGAATTTCCACCAGTTTGCATGTGATTTAATAAGGATAATTTCTCATCAACCACTGACTTGACACTAACACTTCTTTACACAGACCCAAAGCACAATCTATGCATCTAAACACTGCCATTTCCAGGAATGGAGCAATCCATTCTGAAAATATCAAAAATGATTGTGTGCTGAGAACTATCACTAGTTTTATGTTAATGAACTTCCTCATTTTCCACCTAAGTTGGCAAGAACTGACTGTTTATGGGATTTCGCCAACTCCCTATCACCACCACAAATTCAGGCTGCTACTTTAAGTTACTACCAAGTTCTCATTTCCCAATTCCTCTCTATTGTCTTAGAACTCTGTTAAAAGCCAGCTCATGGTGATGGATTAGCTCTACCAGAATCCCCTGAGTAATTGGAAAAAGACACAGGGTTCTGCCCCTGGAGGCTGATTCAGGTCAGTCTGGGACTCAGAAAACTGTACTTTTAAACACACATCCCATGTGACTGAGATCAATTTGGGAATGGCCAGTTCAGCTGTCGGGCTTGACAGCCAAGCTTTCATGGGGCCTCCCTCCCTGTGAGCTACTCACCACACCACTGGGAAGAGGATGGCACCACAACACAACAGGTCGACCAGAAAGAGAGAGTCCTTCCACAAGCCATATTCAGTCGTGCCCTCCTCGGTGGACTCTATGATGATGTAGGCTACATTTGCCAGGACCTACAGACATGAGAATTTGCTGAGGCCCCAAAGCATGGGTGCACTGTTACGACGCTAGCAGCCCCAATGAGGGGTGTACACCTTGGCCTCTAGACCCGCAATGTGCGACCACAGCATTTTTTCCAGTCCCACATGCTCTTCCAGAACTCTGCCACTCTGCTATCAAGGAGAGTCTCCATGCCATCCCCCTGAATCTGGACAGGCCTGTAATTGCTCTAATACAGTAAGATGGAAAGCTGCTGCGTGATTTCCAAGGTAGGTAAAGCTTCCACCCAGCAATCTTGGGACCTTTGGAGCCCTAAGCCTTCTTGTAAGAAGTTTGGCTACCCTGAAACTACCCTGCTGTACAGACCATGCAGAGACGGAAAGACACCCCAGGAGTCCCAGCTGTCCCAGTCCCCACCTGAGCAAGCTTCTCAGCCCAGAAGACAGATGCGAGTGGAGACTTCAAGATGCTCCCAGTCACAGTGTGACTATGACCACAAGACCCAAGTCAGACCCACCCAGCTAGCCACTCTTGAATTCCTAACCCACAGAAACCGAGAGAGAGAATGAAGGGTTACTGTTGTTTTAAGTCGCTGGGTTTTGGGGTGATTTGTTATGCAGCAGTAGATAACAGGGACACTTTGCTTTTCAGGTACCCCTAACCCAGTGGAGTCACTCAGGTGCTGGACTGCTGGACAGGTGGCACTTAACACCCTATTTAGCCACAATGCCCACACTTTTCAGGCCCTGGTGCTCAGTGACAATAACTCATCTAAGTGCCAGACAATGGAACTGTGTTTTCAGAGACTAGAGCGGTGAGAATGGATGATTCCAGCCCCACAGCTGAGTGGCCACACTGCTGCTCATGGGATCATTCAAGTCCAGGTCCTCCCCACACAGGACATGGCGAGTGCGTCCACTGAGGTTCACCAGTGTCTGCGCACTGCTTCTCCCTCCAAAGGTAAGGTTCTGCCTCATGTACTCAGGCCCATTATTAGGCTCTTAGCATTAGGTCTTTATAAAAAGTCCTTCCGCTGGCTAAACTGAGATGCCACAGAGCATAAGGGAAATTTACCACTTATAATACATCCTTTTGAAGATTACCACTGGGAATGGATGCAGAGATGATCATTCCACCTGTACACCCCATGAGAAGTCCTTGGTCCCAAATACTCTGCCTGACTTGCTGTAAAGGTAATACTCCACACTTTGCATGTAAAATCTGTAGTGCTATTATTCAGCAAGTCTCTAAGTGTAATTTCTCTTGCTATACAGGACTTAGAAATCAAATTACCTAAAACTTCATTTAATACTAATGCAAAAAATATCTGAAATTTCAGCCTCTCCATTGATACCCAGCTTCTGGGTTCTTCCCTGTCCCACGTTGCTCGTGAAGCCCTGTCTATCCAAAACATTAGCATCTGTGGCTCTATCTAAAAAGACAAAGTAGGGCTGGGTGTGGTGGCTCATACCCGTAATCCCAGAACTTTGGGGAGCCAAGGTAGAAGGATTGCTTGAGCCCAGGAGTTTGACACCAGCCTGGGCAAAACAGTGAGACCATGCCTCTACTAAAAAAAAAAAAAAATTTAAAAATTAGTCAGGCGTGATGGTGCGCGCCTGTGGTCCCAGCTACTCGGGAGACTGAGGCAGGAGGACTGCCTGAGCCCAGGAGTTCGAGGCTGCAGTGAGCCATGATCACCACTGCACTCCAGCCTGGGTGACAGAGTGAGACACTGTCTAAAAATAAAAAGACAAAATAGAAAACAAAGGCTTTCACATCTTAAATTCAAAATTTAGATGAATGAGAGACAGTACACACTACATGAGAGACAGAATGTTCCCAATGTTGAACAACGTGCCAAGAGTGTTCTTAAAACACCATTTTGCATGGACATCATCTACTCCTTACTTAGAAACTTTCTGTCACTGCCCATGGCCAAAAGGAAGCAGTTTTAACTTTTCAGGCAGACATTCAAGGCCCCTCCCAGACTAGTTCCATTGTCTAAATACTCATAACTTTCTTAATTTGTTTAATGTCCTTATTTTCTCAGAGTGGTATTCCATGGAACTGTGTATGTCTGTCTTTCAGGGAAGCCCAGGACTGGCTTCCTGGAAGGCTGTGCCCCACAACAGCACAGTTCAGGCTGGTGGGGGGAGACTCTAGAGGGATGAGGGAATCTACTAAAGGGAAGGGGAGCACGCAGCCAGGTGACAACCCAGGCTCCATCATTCACAACTCCAAGACCTCACCAGGCTGTAGGACTCAGTCTGGTTAAAGAAGTGGCCCTGGTGGCTCGACAGCTGAAAGACCGGCACAGTCCCGCAGCACGTTTTGCTCAGCAGGCAGCAGGGTCATGTGTATCTACTGCTATGCCACTGCCTCTGTCACATCCTTTTCTTTCAACACTCAGGCCAGCCCCATCTCTTGTCACAAAGAAAGCCCTCCTTGATCCTTCCAATTTGAGTGCTTACTCTCTCCTTGGAAACGCAGAGCAACTGGCCTGTCCCATTCATTAGATGTCAACACACGTTCCTCATTATTGAACGTGAGGGTGGATGAGGTCTGTCAGAACTCAGAGAGGAGCTTTGCTGCAAACTCTGCCAGAGCTGGGAGCCTCAGGAGTTGTCCCCTTCTACCCCCAACCTTCCACATTTACTTTGCGCTCCAAAATGTGAGAACAGCTGACGGGGACAACTCTGTCAAGCAGATGCTGTCTGGTCAAGCACAGCAGGGTAGCTATGCGTTCCTGCTAAAACCTCTGTTCATTGTAAGTTCTTTACATCCCAGTTCTGCTTCCAGTAAGACAAGGCTCCTCCCCCAACAGACTCACAGCCTTGTAAGGCTGGCCTCAGCCCTCAGCCCTCAGCCCCAAACATGGTAAGGATTTAGGAAATGTTTGCCCCTCATGTCTACTACCATATTCTACCTGTGGAAACTCACTGGTGTAGTTCACGGTTTTAAAATACTTTATTAATAAAATCACTACATCTCTGAGCTTCCTCGCCAACAGCACCATTTAGTTATGAAGCAAATGATGCAGAAGAAAAAACAGTACTGTGTGTTACTGTGTGTCTCCCTACACTGTCAACAGCTCTCTACTCAAAATCTAGGCGCCCAAAGGCCATTGGCTGACTGATGGCCAAGCATCTCCCAGTGCAATGACCTGAAGTCTATTCAGAATTCAGAAAGAGAATCCCAGTCTTCAACCTCCACTAGCAGAAGCTGGGGTTTCAGGGTGAGCTGACTCCCTCTTGCCATACAGGCTTGGAGCTGAGCCCTGCTAAGTGCCAAGACAGAAAGCGACAAACAGGATGAAGGTTCCTTTACCTGGAGTGGGATGACAATCATGAAGATCTTTTTGTCTTTATCAGAAAGGATGTGCTTAATGAAAGCCCAGCCAGTGCCAATGAGTGCAATGGTGATGAAGAGTAGCGCCCCTTTCAAACTGGAAGAGAAAACAAAGAACAGACACTAGCAGGTCTCTTTAGACTCTCACTGCCAGTTAGATTGCATAGCTCATTCTATGAGTTCACAAGCTTATTACAAAAGACGGGCAGCCAAATTTAGGAAATACATCATACATGAGCACCGCTTCCTTCAGGGCACACAAAGTTAGCTCTGTACCCCACAGCCTGAACAGCCAAAGGCCACAGGGAGGCAGGAGCATGCCGCTAAGCCCGAGTTCCCAAGTCTGGACAGCCACCCATCAGCTACACTCCTCTAGTGTAGCTAGAGCAGATAGGCTGCCACGGGAGGGCAGGGCTGGTTAACTCGGGGCAGGTTGTTGCCTACCCCTACTTGTCTTGTATGTCATTTCACGGTGTATTTCACATGGACCTGCATACTTACAGGTGAGTTATGTAGTACACAACAGCCCAGCCTTCGATAGGGAAGCCCTGGGAGGAGATGTAGTGGTAGTCAATCTGAAATCAAACAAATGCATTTCAGAATCACTCATTATCTACATGGCTCCACAAAGAATCTTTTAACTTGGACCCAGCTGGGAAATTATCTAAATCATTATCATTTTGTGATGCTGTTACGGGATATATTATTGCCTTTTCGCACTTTCAAGTATAGCAAAGAGTACATATCTAGAGACGGTCACCCTTGCAAGTGTGCTCCATGGGCACTTGGAGGCCCACAGACAGGAGAAGTTGTGATCTTACCCCCTTGGGCAAGTTTATTTTAATTTGTATAAGTTCCAAATACTCAAAGCTGAAGCTCAATTCTCATGCCTCCAGCTTTATAGCATCAATTTTCTCTCAGATAAATATGCTAATACTGAATTGAACTTCAAATCACATAGGAACATGAGGGAATACTTGGAAACAAAAAAGTCGTGGAGGCCGGGCGCGGTGGCTCACGCCTGTAATCCCAGCACTTTGGGAGACCGAGGTGGGCAGATCACAGGGTCAGGAGATCGAGACCATCCTGGCAAACACGGTGAAACCCGGTCTCTACTAAAAATACAAAAAAATTAGCCGGGCGAGGTGGCAGGCACCTGTAGTCCCAGCTACTCGGGAGGCTGAGGCAGGAGAATGGCATGAACCTGGCGGGCGGAGCCTGAGTGAGCATAGATCATGCCACTGCACTCCAGCCTGGGCAACAGAGCAAGACCCCGTCTCAAAAAAAAAAAAAAAAAAGTCATGGAAACAAGTCAGCAGGTGGCACTCTCATCTCTAGAAATGGTAAAAACAAAACAAAACAAAAAACAAAGAAATGAAAACAATAAGTGTTCTAGACAAATCGTAGGTCTGTAAGCAGCATCAGAAGATGTCTGAAGTCTAATATGAGGGGAGGTGGTAATCATTTACCTGCACGGCCAGGCCCTCCCAGACAAGAGGAGGCTTTATGTGAAACATATTCTCTGTTTCCCACCCATCTATCCCCTTTCTTCAAATGTCTTTTGCCTGCTCACACAGGCATTATACGTAATTTCATGAATGATCCCCAAAATGCTAATACATACTGCATGGAACACCAAGGAAAGAGACTTGGTGAAAGGAAGGGCCGCCATCAGCCAGTGGATTTTAAATACATCATTCCTATAAAAACAGAGAGAAAAGAATTAAAGGACGATTCCATTCTCCCAAAGGACAGTCAAAGCTCCAGACATCAGCTATATTTATAAGGAGACAGGAAATATGTGCAAACCATAAACATGAAACTTTTGTTTTTTTTTTTTGAGACAGGGTCTTATTCTGTCGCCCAGGCTAGAGGACAGTGGTGTCATCACGGCTCACTACAGCCTTGAACTCGGGCTCAAGCGATCAAGCAGCTCTCAGGAAGCTGAGGTGGGAGGATGGCTTTAGGTGTATGCCACCATGCCCAACTAATTGGTTTTGTATTTTTTATACAGAAAGGGTTTTGCTAAGTTTTCCAGGCTGGTCTTGAACCCCTGGCCAAGCAATCCACCCACCTTGGTCTCTCAAAGTGTTGATATTACAGGCATGAGCCACTGTACCCAGCAAAAACTTTTTTTTTTTTTGAGACAGAGTATTGCTCTGTCACCCAGGCTGGAGTGTAGTGGCATGAACTTCGCTCACCGCAAACTCCAACTCCCGGGATCAAGTGATGCCCCCCACTGCCTCAACCTCCTGAGTAGCCGGGATTACAGGCGTGCACCACGATGTCCAGCTAATTTTTGTATTTTTAGTAGAGACAGGGTTTCACCACATTGGCCAGGCTGATCTTGAACTCCTGACCTCAAGTAATCTACCCACCTCAGCCTCCCAAAGTGCTGGGATTACAGGGGTGAGCCACCGCGCCTGGCCACTTTTTTTTATAAGGTACTTTTTACTGGTAAAAAAGGCCTTGATTGGAGTCCTAAAGTAACCTCTAATACACAATTTAATGTGAATGAACCTGAAAGTTATGCACTAAAGCCAGACATGATGGATTCCAACTCTTGAGTAAATGGAAATCTAACACAGGCTGCCAGCTTGTTCCCGGAAACCACCCTGGGAAAGCCAGAGGCAAGAATAAGGTAGATGGACCTAAGAAAACAGCACAGAGCTCCCAGGAAAGCAGAAAGCGATTACAAACAGCTGTAGGGGAAGTCTGCAGCCCAGAGTAGGGGGGCTGGGAGCCAGCAGCAGGGATGTGTGAGGGGAAAGTACCAGGGTTGTGCCCATTTCTCTCTCCTTCATGGCTGGTGTCTGCAAATACCCCAGGCCAATGAGACAAAGCACGCATTCCCAGGCCCACCCTGTCACAGATACTAGAGTCCACCTTTGGGCTGCCAGGCATTAAATTCCTCTACTCCTTCCCACTTCCCCTTAGGAACTAACCTCATAGAACACATTAAGACTATTATGAGGCCGGGTTCAGTGGCTCATCCCTGTAATCCCGGCACTTAGGGAAGCCGAAGTGGGAAGATCACTTGAGCCCAGGAGTTTGGGATTAGCCTGGGCAAGATGATGAAACTCTGTCTCTACCAAAAATACAAAAAGTTAGCTGGGTGTGGTAGTGCACACGTGTAGTCCTAGCTACTTGGGAGGCTGAGGTGGGAGGATCACTTGAGCCCAGGAGGCAAAGGCTGCAGTGAGCCGTGACTGTGCCACTGCTCTGCAGACTGGGTGACAGAGTGAGCCCCTGTCTCAAAACAAACAGTCTCAAAACAAACAAAAATTAAGCCAGGAGTGATGGTGTGTCCCTATAGTTTCAGCTATTTGGGAGGCTGAGGTGGAAGGATCACTTGAGCTCAGGAGTTTGAGGCTGCAGTAATCCTTGATTACGCCACTGCTCCAGCCTGGACAACATAGTGAGACCCTGTCTCAAAAAAAAAAAAAAAAAAAAGCAAAGAATACAGGCAGCCACAAGAGGGGAAACTGAAATGGCTAATGAGTCCCTAAAATGATAATCCACATCACCAATATTCTGAGAAATGCAAAATAAAACACGATACCAGTTTACACCTATCAGATCGGCAAAAATTAAGATGTCCGTATTGGTGAGAATGTGGAGAAATAGCAAACCTTATTATGTATGCACCACTAGTAGATGTATAAACCTATATGCCACACTGGAAGGCACTCTGGCCCTTAATGAAATTAACTGATGGCTGGGTGCAGTGGCTCACGCCTGTAGTCCCAGCACTTCGGGAGGCGGAGGCAGGAGGATCTCTTGAGGCCAGGAGTTCAAGACCAGCTTGGCCAACATGGTGAAAACCCGCCTCTACTAAAAATACAAAAATTAGCCCGGCATGGTGGTGCATGCCTGTAGTCCCAGCTACTCAGGAGGGTGAGGAAGGAGAATCACTTGCACTCAGGAGGCAGAGGTTGCAGTGAGACAAGATGGTGCCACTACACTCCAGCTTGGGTGACAGAGTAAGACTCTGTCTCTCAAAAAAAAAAAAAAAAAAAGAAAGAAAGAAAATAAAAGAAATTAACTACCCATGGCACAGTGTGCTTCCTTCTGGGACTGTAGCTCTGAGGCTGCAGAGATCCACAGGGGATCTTCGGAGGTTCATGCCAGCACTGGCTGGGGTAGCAGTCCAGCCACATGTCCATCACTAAAGGACCAAAGCAGTCAAACGTGAGGACACAGAGCATGGGATGCCATGGAGTAGGTAAAAAATCAATGAATGAGACGCACACTCAGTCACATGGCTAGATCGTAGAAAGGATACTACTGAGTAAAAAATGTACAACAATGTCTAGAGATATTTTATGTAAATATAAATGTATTTTATGTATTTACAATACATTTACATAAATACATTACATATACACAAATGTATTTATGTAAATATAAATGTATTTTACATTTATGTAAAATAAATGCAACACCAACAATATAAGAATATAGAACTATCCAAAAATGAGGCCAGGCGCAGTGGCTCACGCCTGTAATCCCAGCACTTTGGGAGGCGGATCACCTGAGGTTAGGAGTTCTAGACCAGCCAGGCCAAGATGGCGAAACCCCGTCTCTACTAAAAATACAAAAATTAGCCAGACGCGGTGGCATGCACCTGTAATCTCAGCTACTTGGGAGGCTGAGGCAGGAGAATTGCTTGAACCCAGGAGGCAGAGGTTGCAGTGAGCCGAGACTATGCCACTGCACTCTAGCCGGGGGCACAGAGTGAGACAAGGTTTCAAAAGAAAAAAAGTCCAAAAATGTATATGTAACACATTTGAGCAGTTCTCCACGGCTAGGAAGGAGTGGGAGAGGGGACAGGAAATGAAGGGGAACAATACAGCAGGAGAGGGGCCTGGCACCGAGTGAGAATGAGAGTGTGCCACAAAGGGATGTCAGTTTCTGGGCTCATTTCCTCCTTGGTACTTTCTGTTCCAGTGCCCACCTATTTGAAGTTGAAAGGGAAGTCAAGGTCAGAATAGTCTGGAACTACTGAATGCCAATGAGATTTACCCAGAGTGTAAAACCACCCACCACAAAGAGCTGTGCTCATTCACACATTCTGGCAACCCTGACTTGCAGTCCATGGTTAGAACTTCTACGACGGGGCAGAGATGTGATCGAAAGAGCAAGCCTCACCGACCTTGGCTCAAACACTAGTTCTCCCTACACTCGAAGTTGGGAGGGGCCTGATACATACTAGCAGGCAGACCCGGGTTCCAGTCCCAGCTCTGTTGGGTGACACTGGCTCTCGTTTCCTCTCTCAGTTTATTTCCCTCATTAAATTAGGCAAAGATGCTCAGTTGCTTCCAGCTTTCAGGGGCCAGTGAAATGTGCCTGGCGGCCTTGGTCATACGCCTTTATATCATGTGGCTTTCCAGCCTACCAGAACTGACTCTAAGACTCCCAGGAAAACATGGCCAGGACTTAAATGAGACCACACTATACGCCAACAAAAATTAGAGGTGAGACTTGTACACAACAGGTCAGCCTCATTTAACCACAGATTGAAAACTGTTACTACGGCCTGGGCGCGGTGGCTCATGCCAGTAATCCCAACATATTGGGAGGTTGAGGCGGGTGGATCACGAGGTAAGGAGATCAAGACCATCCTGGTCAACATGGTGAAACCCTGTCTCTACTAAAAACACAAAAATTAGCCGGGCATGGTGGCAGACGCCTGTAGTCCCAGTTACTTGGGAGGCTGAGACAGGAGAATCACCTGAACCTGGAAGGCAGAGGTTGCAGTGAGCCAAGATTGCGCCACTGCACTCCAGCCTGGTGACAGAGCGAGACTCTGTTTCAAAAAAAATAAAATAAAAAATAAAATTGTTACCACAATTTGGTATAAGTGAACCAGTGACAATGACTTTTGCCACCAATAACTAAAGGAAATTAAAACACCACTGAATCCCTGGCTACTAAACTATTTTATAAATACCTCGTATTTGGGGAGGCCGAGATGGGCGGATCATGAGGTTAGGAGATCGAGACCATCCTGGCTAACACTGTGAAACCCTGTCTCTACTAAAAAATACAAAAAACTAGCCGGGTGAGGTGGTGGGCACCTGTAGTCTCAGCTACTCAGGAGGCTGAGGCAGGAGAATGGCGTAAACCTGGGAGGCGGAACTTGCAGTGAGCTGAGATCCGGCCCCTGTACTCCAGCCTGGGCAACAGAGAAAGACTCTGTCTCAAAAAAAAAAACACAAAAAACAAAAATTCCTCATATTTGGACGGCACCCTGATTTGGAAAGCCCTCTCATATACATTATCTTAGGGGGAATCACAGAACAAGTCTAAGAATCCAAGACTCTTACAGGAAGGCAGAGTAATTAACTATTACTGTCCCAGTTTCATAGCCAAGAAAAAAGAGATTTAGAGTGAAGCAAGGCACACAGGCAGTTACTGTCCAAGTTCACACCTGAAATCAGGTCTGACTCCTAGTTCTTAATTTTCTAGTAAAGGCAAAAAAGTAGAACTTTCTTTAAAAAAAAAAAAAAAAAACTGAGGTCGGGCACAGTGGCTCACGCCTGTAATCTCAGCACTTTGGGAGGCCAAGGCAGGTGGATCACCTGAGGTCAGGAGTTCAAGACCAGCCTGGTCAACATGGCAAAACCCCATCTCTACTAAAAATGCAAAAATTAGCCATGCATGGTGGCGGGCACCTGTAATTCCAGCTACTCAGGAGGTTGAGGCAAGAGAATTGCTTGAACCTGGGGGACAGAGGTTGTGGTGAGCTGAGATTTCGCCACTGTACTCCAGCCTGGGCGACAGTCAAGACTGTGTCTCAAAAACAAAACAAAACAAAACAAAACACACCCAAAAACTTTTATGGCCTAAATTTTTATAACCTTCCCTCCTTCCATCTGCATCTCTCTCTTTCTTTCTTAGAGACAGAGTCTTACTCTGTGTCCCAAGCTGGAATGCAGTGGCACAAACATAGCTCACTGCAGCCTCCAACCCTTGGGCTCAAGCAATCCTCCCACCTCAGCCTCCCAAGTAGTGAGCACTACAGGTGTGCACCACCATAACTGGATACCTTTTTTTTTTTTTTTTTTTTTTTACATAGCTCACTGCAGCCTCCAACCCTTGGGCTCAAGCAATCCTCCCACCTCAGCCTCCCAAGTAGTGAGCACTACAGGTGTGCACCACCATAACTGGATGTTTGCACCACCATAACTGGATACCTTTTTTTTTTTTTTTTTTTTTTTTTGAGACAGAGTCTCACTCAGTCGCCCAGGCTGCAGTGCAGTGGCGTGATCTTGGATCACTGCAAGCTCCGCCTCCCAAGTTCACGCCATTCTCCTGCCTCAGCCTCCCAAGTAGCTGGGACTACAGGCGCCCGCCGCCACACACGGCTAATTTTTTGCATTTTTAGTAGAGACGGGGTTTCACCGTGTTAGCCAGGATGGTCTTGATCTCCTGACCTCGGGATCCACCCGCCTGGGCCTCCCAAAGTGCTGGGATTAAAGGTGTGAGCCACCGCGCCCAGCCAACTGGATAACTTTTTATTATTTTTTTATTTTGTGCAGTGGCACAGTCTCAGCTCACTGCAAGCTCCACCTCCTGGGTTCACACCATTCTCCTGCCTCAGCCTCCTGAGTAGCTGGGACTATAGGCACCCACCACCACGCCCAGCTAATTTTTTGTATTTTTTATTTTTGAGACAGAGTCTCGCTCTGTCGCCCAGGCTGGAGTACAGTGGCCAGATCTCAGCTCACCGCAAGCTCCGCCTCCCGGGTTTACGCCATTCTCCTGCCTCAGCCTCCCAAGTAGCTGGGATTACATTAGCTGGGACTACAGGCGCCCGCCACCTCGCCCGGCTAGTTTTTTGTATTTTTTAGTAGAGACGGGGTTTCACCGTGTTAGCCAGGATGGTCTTGATCTCCTGACCTCGTGATCCGCCCATCTCAGCCTCCCAAAGTGCTGGGATTACAGGCTTGAGCCACCACGCCCGGCCAATTTTTTGTATTTTTAACAGAGACGGGGTTTCACTTTGTTAGCCAGTATGGTCTCAATCTCCTGACCTCATGATCCGCCCACCTCGGCCTCCCAAAGTGCTGGGATTACAGGCATTAGCCGTCACTCCCAGTCCACGACTGGATAATTTTTAAATTTGTTTGTAGAAATGGGGTCTTGCTGGGCCAGGTGTGGTGGCTCATGCCTATAATCCTAGCACTTTGGGAGACCGAGCCAGGTGAATTACCCGAGGCCAGCAGTTCAAGACCAGCCTGGTCAACATGGTGAAACCCCATCTCTACTAAAAATATAACAATCGGCTGAGTGTGTTGGCACATGCCTGTAATCCCACCTACTTTGGAGGCTGAAGCACAATAATTACTTGAACCCGGAGGTGGAGGTTGCAGTGAGTTGAGATTAGGCACTGCACTCCAGCCTGGGGGCTAGAGGAGAGAGTGAGACTCCATCTCGAAAGAAAAAAAAAAAAGGCAGGGGGGGTCTTGCTATGTTGCCCAAGCTGGTCTCAAACTTACAGACTCAAGTGATCCTCCTGCCTTGGCTTCCCAAAGCACTGGGATTACAGGTGTGAGCCACCACACTCAGCCCATAGGATTCTTTCTTAGTAATTGCTCCTTGAAAATCTAGTCCAAACATGATTATGTAGGTCCTTCCCAAGTAAACAAGAAACTCTTTCTATCTGGTGGGTGTACAGGATATCACAACAAATGGGTACCAGCAAGTGAACCCAGCCAGAGTCTAATATACCAGACTCTGAGCATGTTCATTAGAAGACAATCAAGCTACCAGGGACTAAAGAAGTCTCAATTTCCACCCCAGTGCTCCAGAGAAAGAAGTGTTTCAGGGAGTTTAATTATTCTATGAATTTAAATCAATCCATATTATAATAGCATATTCGGATACCATCATTTACTCAGTTTATGAGCATTATAATAAACACTTTACACAATTCCCTAAGTGAATATTTTGTTTTCAATTGTCTTGGAGGGAGAAAGAATTCACGTACATGCAGCTGCTCCCCCCAAGAACCAAGTACAGGAAGTTAAAGCCTCAGGGGTTTCAGAAAAAAAGGCTAAAACCCAGGCAGATGGGCTTTGAAGAGGTTTTGTCCAGTGACAAGCATCTGGAAGTCAATGCAGAGAATCTATCCCAGCGCAGCTTTGAGCCAAGACCTTCAGTTCTAAGCAGTAACTCCATGCTCTCGCCAGGCAGTGCTCATCGTCACTAACTTCCTCTCCAGAAGCAACAGCCCCTGAATGAGACCCATGTGTTTACTCTCAGTCCTGGACTGTGGGATCTCTACCATGGAAACACTTGGCTTATACAGTCTATTCTGCTTCCATACTATCAAAAATATTTAGGGCCCGCGTGGTGGTTCATGCTTGTAATCCCAAGACTTTGGGAGGCCCAGGTGGGCAGATCATGAGATCAGGAGATCGAGACCATCCTGGCTAACACGGTGAAACCCCACCTCTACTAAAAAGACAAAAACAAAATTAGCCGGGCATGGTGGCAGGCGCCTGTAGTCCCAGCTACTCGGGATGCTTAGGTGGGAGAATGGCATGAACCCAGAAGGTAGAGTTTGCAGTGAGTTGAGATCATGCCATTGCACCCCAGCCTGGGAGACAGAGCAAGACTATGTCTCCAAAAAAAAAAAAAAAATTTAGATTTACTTTTTAAACAGAACAACAGGAAGTGAACAGACACCAAGGCAGGCATGCAAAGGGCTCCCACACCACAATGCTACCGCACAATCTTCATACTGTTTCCGGGTAGATGCCCTTTGAAAGGAACAACACTGCTTAGCACCAACTGCCTCCAGGTTCAGAAGCCAGCAAACAGTGAAATTACTCAAATCTCAACACACTCTTAAGTTGAAGCGCTCAAGGAAGTAATAGTTTACCGTCGTTTTCGAAGGATATGAATCCAGATGGTCCCAGAAAGAAAGAAGAAAAAGGCCATTGAGATGTATAATTTGGGGAGAGGAATTTCTCCTGCTGAGAGGTAGCTGTCAGGATTCTTCTCTGTGATCTCAATCTGAAACCAGCATGAAATTAATTTTTACTTTTCAGGTACATATCATCCCTTATTCAGCAATTTAGAATCTCAGCGGTTTCACTTAAGCTTAAGAAAGTAAGTACCAGCGGCTGGGCATGGTGGCTTACGCCCGTAATCTCAGCACTTTGGGAGGCTGAGGCAGGTGGATCAGGATCACCTGAGATCAGGAGTTCACCACCAGCCTGGCCAACATGGTGAAACCCTGTCTCTATTAAAAATACGAAAAAAATTAGGGCTGGGCGCAGTGGCTCACGCCTGTAATCCCAGCACTTTGGGAGGCCAAGGCAGGCGGATCACAAGGTCAGGAGTTCAAGACCAGCCTGGCCAACATGGTGAAACCCCGTCTCTACTAAAAATACAAAAATTAGCTGGGTGTGGTGGCACGCCAGCTACTTGGGAGGCTGAGAAAGGACAATCGCTTGAACCCAGGAGGCGGAGGTTGCAGTGAGCCAAGATTGTACCACTGCACTCTAACCTGGGTGACAGAGCAAGACTCTGTCTCGAAAAGAAAAAAAATAAGTCAGGCATTGTGACAGGCGCCTGTAATCCCGGCTACTTGGGAGGCTGAGGAAGGAGAATCGCTTGAACCCAGGAGGTGGAGGTTGCGGTGAGGCAAGATCATGCCATTGCACTCCAGCCTGGGCAACAAGAATGAAACTCCATCTCAAAAAAAAAAAAAAGTGAGTACCAGCAAACAACCACCCCCTTTTTTTTAAATCTGAGATAGGGTCGCACCCTTTTGCCCAGGCTGGAGTGCAGTGATGCAATCTCGGTTTACTATAACTCTGCCTCCTGGGCTCAAGAAATCCTCCCACCTCATCCTCCTGAGTAGCTGGGACTAGAGGTGTGCACCACCACGCCTGGCTAATTTTTCACATTTTTTGTAGAGAGAGGGTTTTGCCATGTTGCCCACGCTGGTCTCAAACTCTTGGACTCAGGTGATCTGCCCACTTCAGCCTCCCAAAGTGCTGGGATTACAGGCATGAGCCACCATGCCCGGCCAAAACAACCACATTCTTAATGCACAGGTTGAAGTGCAGACACATCCTAATTGCTGTGTATTTTCCTACGAATCCTCTGCTGAAGTATCCCGCACAGTGGCAAGGATGTGTGTCTGTCCACATTCTTAACTGTTCTTAAAATCTAACCTTAAACAGAAATAAATCTTGCATTTTATGCTGACAAAATCCACGTAGAACAGTCTCCAAACAGTACTCACATCAAGGCTGAATGAAAACTTGTCACTTGGCAATTCTTTTCCAAGGCATTTGTGAAAATAAAGACTGTAAAGGCCTTCTTGGTCATCAGTGCTGATGTTAAAGAAAAACTGAAAGTGAAGAAGAAAACATTTAAAGGTACCCAAATCCTCAGCTGTGTATATATATATATATATTTTATTTTATGTTTTCTTTTAAAGTGTTGTTTACTTTTTTCTTCAAATTCTACTCAGCTATATTTTTAAACCTTAGAAATAAATTATGAATATTAATGGATGGAAGGAAATAAAGACAGACTGCTTAAATTATCGACTCTCCCATGGCAGAGTTTAAAGAGATATTTTCTTACTCTATGATTACCTTCCAATATTTTGTTACAACAGTTTTCAAGTACACAGAACAGCTGACAATTGTATAGTGAAAGCTACATAGCCACAACCTCGCTTCTACAATGAACATTTTACTATGCCTGTTCTATCACAGATCTAGCCATTTGTGATGGTCTTTGCAGAAGTCTTCAAAGATAACCTAAGATGTAGTTATCTCGTCTTCAAGCTAACGTATTATTTTGCTCTTTGTAGGTATAAAATACTCTTTAAAAAGGAGGCTCATCTTATACTTGAAAACCAATCAATATTTCCTCATCAAAATTTACAACTATGGTTTTAGAGAACAATAATGAAGGCTACATTTTGTAGATTTAGACAGTTTTCTGTTTTTCATACATTTCATGAGTTTAAATGAAGTTTAATGTAAACCAAAAGACAGACACACTTAGAGAATATGACTTCTTGGTCAAGCCTAAGAAAATTTTACTTCAGCCATGAGTTCTACCAATAAAAAGAAATACCCCTGAAACACATTTTTAGGGCTACATATATATAGCCATTAAACTACAAAGAAAGGCTAGGAAGTGACTATGGTAGCATTTTTCATGACAGGGGCTACTCTAGAGTTGGGAAGGACTGCGAGGGAGACATAAGGTTTCTCAGGTGCTGGAACTGCTCTATTTCTTGTCCTGGGTGCTGGATCATAAAGGTGACTGTTCATAGTTACATGTTAAACTCAATATAAGTACTTTACACTCTTCTGCATGTATACTGTACCTCACAACTTTAAAAAATGGGGAAAAAAAGACACCTGGCAAAAATAAAATTAAAAGACCAAGAACACATGAGCTGGAATTATTAATCTGTTAAACCATGTGCCAAACTCAATTGTCAATGCGTATTTTAATCCCCTGAGCTATAGCCACAATAAGAAAACCTTTCTAAACACATGGACAACTTCTACTTTTAAAGATTCAGGGGAAGTCTAAAAAAGATATAAAAGTTTAAAAGATATAATTTAAAAAAATCAATAGCATCACCATGGTTGATGAGAGTAGGCACCTGACCCTTAGAGACAAAAACAAAACAAAAATGTCAACTGTAGGGTTGGAATAAGCCCTGAGAGTCCCCTTCCCGTATTTAGGTAGATAAACCACTATCCCCATGCCATGAATGAAGCAGAAGAGCTCAGAGTGGACTGCACCATCCAAGACCGGGAGACACTGGGTAGAACAGCGAGAAATCATGATGACATCTTTCCAAGGTGGGGAAAGCTGGAGAAAAGCGAAGTACCCATGCACTGCCTGCTCCACGCATCCCAAGAACCCTGCAGACAGGCTGTTTCAGCACGAGCTGCTAATCACCATGCAGACTGCTGTGCTTGGATGCTTGCCCGACACAAAGCACTGGTGCCAGACATCCGTGTGCATCCTGTAACACTTTCCTTTGTGATTAAAAAAGCAGGGAGCATTTGAAAAACTTTTTTTTGTTGTTTTGTCTTGAGATGGAGTCTCGGACTGTCACCTGGGCTGGAATACAGTGGCATGATCTCGGCTCACTGCAACCTCCACCTCCCAGGTTCAAGCGATTCTCCTGCCTCAGCCTCCCAAGTAGCTGAGATTACAGGCGCCCACCACCACCTCCCAGCTAATTGTTTGTATTTATTTATTTATTTTTAGTAGAGATGAGGTTTCACTATGTTGGCCAGGCTGGTCTCAAACTACTGACCTCATGATCCCAAAGTGCTGGGATTACAGGCATGAGCCACCATGCCCGGCCTGAAAAACATTTTAAAAACTCATTTTATTAATAAGCATTTTAAAGTGAGAGAAGGAAGAGAGAAAAGTAACTTTTGTATTTTCTCAAGGAGGCAGTAAAAGGCAAAGTGGTTAAACACATGGGCCGTGGATTCAAACAAACGTGGACCTGAATCCCCTGCTTGGGGCAAGTTACATTACCTCTCTGAGCCTCAGTTCCTCATCAGTAGAAGAAAAAATTAATACTGACTTCACAGAGTTGTTGAGAGGATTAACTGAGATAACGACATAGAAGCACTTAGCACAATGCCTGACACTGGTTTATTAGTCTCTATAAATACAGGCCAAGGCCAAGGCCAAGATTAGGAGTTTCATATACATTAATAATGAGAGAGAGAAAACCCCTGCCCTTAAGGTACCTTCTGTAGAGGGGGAGACAGGCAATAAACATAACTAAGTACAGTATATAGCATGCTGGAAGGGATAATGCTAAGGAAAGACAGAGCACAATGAGGGAAATAGGAGTGAGCTGCAATCAAGAGAAGCTTTGTTGAGAAGGTGACATTTCAGCAAAGACTTGGGAATTCTGAGAGACAGCATTCCTGCCTGTGGGAACAGCGAGAGCAGAGCCTAAAGCCTGGTCTGTCTGAGAAAGAGCAAGGCGGCTTGTGTGAGAGAACAGTGTGAATAACAGGAGCTGAGGTCAGAGAGACAACAGGGGCTAGACCACACGGGCCTTGCAGACCAGTGGGAAGACTTGGGCTTTACTCCAAGACAGATGGAAAGCTGTTGGAGGGTTCTGAGCAAACGAGCATCCTGCAAGTTCTCAATAACTGTTAGCTATTAATATGGATAGCGACGAAAACGATGGTTACTAAGCTTAAAGAACATACAAAAATTGTTGAACAGGCAAAATGATGTATGGAAAAAGAAATCAGAACGGTACTTGTGGGGATAGAGGGGCTTTCTCAGAAGATGCAAACACAGAAATCTTGAGACAGTGAATTCCATAGGTATATATCCATTTGTCAGAACTGAACAAACTGTACACTTAAGACCTGTGCATTTCACTGTACGCGGTTTTTTTTGTTTTTGTTTTTGAGACAGGGTCTCACTCTGTCACCCAGGCTACAGTGCAGTGGCAAGCTCGAGGTTCACTGTGTGGCCTAGACCCCCCAGGCTCAAGTAATCCTCCTCCCTCAGCCTCCCTAATAGCTGGGATTACAGGCACATGCCACCACACCTGGCTAATTTTTGTATTTTTTTTTAAGAGATGAAGTTTCACCATATTTCCAAGGAGTCTTTAACTCCTGGGCTCAAGTGATCCTCCCACCTCAGCCTCCCTAGTAGCTGGGACTATAAGCAACTACCACCATGCCTGGCTAATTTTTGCATTTTTTGTAGAGATGAGGTTTCACCATGTTGCCCAGGCTGGTCTCAAAACTCCTGGGCTCAAGCAATCTACCTACCTTAGTCTCCCAAAGTGCTGGGATAACAGGCGTAAGCCAACACGCCCTGCCATTTTTCATTTTTAGATGATTAATAGTGAGGTTCAGAAAGTAAGTGAGACCAGGCAAGGTGGCTCACATCTGTAATCTCGGCACTGTGGGAGGCTCAGGCAAGAGGACTGCTTGATCCCAGGAGTTTGAGACCAGCCTGGGCAACAGAGCAAGACCTCATCTCTACAAAAACTTTAAAAATTAGCCAGGCATGGTGGTCTATGCCTGTAGTCTCAGCTACTTGGGAGGCTGAGGCAGGAGGATGACGTGAGCCTGGAAGGTTGAGGCTGCAGTGAGCCGTGATTATACCATTGCACTCCAGCCTGGGCAACAGAGTGAGACCTTGTCTCAAAAACAAAACAAAAAGAAATGAAGTGAGTTGTCCAAAATCACCCAACTAGTAAGTGGGTTTTGAGGCCCAGTCCAATATCTTGTTCCCATACGTATGCTATTATGCTGCCCCTAAATACTCATGGGCAATTAATAACTGTGACAGTTGAGCAGGTCACTCAAAGCCTCTGAGTCTGGGTGAAATCATCTCTAAAATTACAACATCACCATAAATCATCACCAATGGTCCTTTCAGGCATGGGGTACTATGCTTCTGGTACACTTTGAATGGGAGGTAGCATGGGGTCAGGGCAAAGGGGTCACGGGAACAGCCAAGAAGGACTGGGTTGGAAACTGTACCTTGTCACCTACAATAGATAGTCACAAAGTTATTCACTCTCAGAGACTCACGATTTGATCAGTAGATGGGTAACAATATCCACCTTGTGGGTTTGTTAAAGAGATAGCTATTACATTTAAGTGACTGATACAGGGCATACCTAAGTTGTTATTCCTAAATTCAAAATTTCTCTAAAAAAAATTACCCTTTTACATGGTAGAGAGAAATTCTAGGAGGCTTTACACAAAGAGCATACATACCTGAAACGACACTGCCCCACCATTATTATGAACAGAAAAGGATTTCTCTCCCATGGCCTAAAAAGACATAACAGTATGTTTTAGGATGGCACTGGCATAGAAAGTGTGCTAATTAAAAGTAATTTATTAAACAAAACAAAACATGTTTCTTAAACTCTAAATTTGCCGACCTTCAAAGGCTCTCTGAAAATAAAAATGACCATCCTTTCAAGATGTCTGAAATCTGCTTTCACAGCGAATGATAGTTGTTCTTCACCTGTTTCTTCTGCCTCTGCACTAACCCCTACCTCTGCCCTCTGCCTTGAATCTTTCGGCTAGACAGCGTGTCTACCCTTGAAGCTTCAGCCAGACTAAGGGTGCTGACCCAGACCATGCCCTGTCACATCCCCTGAATTCCACTCCTGACATCAAATGATCAAAATATTGGCCCGGCGCAGTGGCTCAAGCCTGTAATCCCAACACACTGGGAGGCCGAGATGGGCAGATCACTTGAGGTCAGGAGTTCAAGACTAGCCTGGCCAACAAGGTGAAATCCCATCTCTACTAAAAATACAAAAATCAGCCAGGCATGGTGATACGTGTCTATAATCCCAGCTACTTAGGAGGCTGAAGCAGGAGAATTACTTGAACCTGGGAGGCAGAGGATGAGATTATACCACTGCACTCCAGCCTGGGTGGTAGAGCGAGACTCCGTTCCCCAAAGCAAAAAAAAAAAAAAAAAAAAAAGAAAAGAAAAGAAATCAAAATATTGCCATATATACAGTAAAACTGAGCAATGAAAAGAAATGATACACACAACAATGTGGATGAATTCAAAGTAATTATGCTGAATATAAGACAGAAAAGAGTGCTGCATAATTCAGTTATATAAAGTTCTATAAATCTAATCTCTACTATAGTGACAGATCAGTGATTGCTTGGGGACAGGGGGCTTACAAAAAGGCAGAAGAAATTTTTGGGGTGATGGATATTTCACTATCTTGATTGATAAGTCAGAGTTATCAGATTGCTGCTTTACATATGTACAGTTTATTTTAGGTCAATTATACTTCAACAAAGCTGTTAAGACAAAACATCACCATTTAGATGTCCCCCTCAAGGAGAAATCAAGATATTACAAACCAAAACTTTCCCAGTTTTTCCACTTCTGCTATTTCTACCACCCACTCCTCTGCTCCTCTCTTTCCCTCCCATCACCCTAAGTGGCTTCCCAGTCATTTACTGTCCAAGGCTCTGCTCTAGTCCACATCCTCAACACCCGAAACAACCCAAACACGGTAGTCTCACAACCATGTCCTTCCAGGTCCTTCGAATAACCCTTTCTCCTTCCCCAAGGCTACCCTTCACATCACTTCCAGAATTAAGATCTTTAATAAACACAGTCTTTCCCAATCAGGAACTTAGGATGACTTCCCATTGCCTGCCCATCAATTCCCTCTATTGCCTGGCCCTATATTATCTAAGATCTCTCTCTGCTCCCAAATATGTGTGTTTCACTTCAAACTAGCCAGTGTTCAGCATCTGTCATCATCCAGTCTTTGTGTATGGCATTCTTCCTCCCCTTGTCTTCCTCTTCCCTGAACAAACTCCAAACTCAGCCCTGGTGACAGTTCCTACCAGAGGGCTTTTCTGATGGTTTGGTATCTTCCTTCCCTAACTACCTCATCCTGTATCATGTAAGAGATATGCAACTTAGAAATCAATTTTCTCCTTCCTTCCTCCCTCCCTTCCTCCTTTTCTTTTTTTTTTTTTTGAGACAGGGTCTCACTCTGTCACCCAGGCTAGTAGGGTGAAGTCACACAATCATAGCTCACTGTAGCCTCAGCCTCCCAGGTTCAGGTGATCCTTCCACCTCAGCCTCCAGAGCAGCTGGGACCACAGGCGCATACCACCACACCCACTAATTCTCCATTTTTTTGTAGAGACAAGGTTTCGCCATGTAACCCAGGGTGGTCTTGAACTCCTGGGCTCAATCAATCCACCCACCTCAGCCCCCCAAAGTGCTGGGATTACAGGCACAAGCCACCATGCCTAGCCAGGAATCAACTTTCCTTTGAAATTGTTTCAGTATGTCAATGCTCTCCCCCCAAATGGGAGACAATTCCCTGTAGATTTTTTTTTGGTTTTATTTTTTTGAACTTTTTTTGAGACAGTCTCACTCTGACACCCAGGCTGAAGTGCAGTAGCGCGATCTTGGCTCACTGCAGCCTCTGCCTCCCAGGTTCAAGTGATTCTCCTTCCTCAGTCTCCCAAGTAGCTGGGATTACAAGAATGTACCACCAAGCCCATTTAATTTTTGTATTTTTAGTAGAGACAGGGTTTCACCATGTTGGCCAGTCTGGTCTCGAACTCCTGACCTCAGCCTCCCAAAGTGCTGTGATCCCCTGACCTCAGCCTCCCAATGTGCTGGGATTACGGCATGAACCACTGTATCTGGCCCCTGTAGATGAGACGTGTGTGTGTGTGTGTGTGTGTGTGTATATATACATATGTACATATATACACATATATACATACATATACACACATATATACACACATATACACACATATACACACACACACACACATATATGTAAGATCTCTGTATTGCAGGTTCTACATCTGCAGATTGAACCAACTGCCAACCAAAAGTATTTTTTACAGTAAGATTAAAAAGTAATAGTAATAAATAACACAAATAAAAAACCAACACAGTGTCACAACTATTTACACAGCGTTTACATTGTGTTAGGTATCACAAGTACTCCAGAGATGATTTAAAGTACACAGGAGGATGTGTGTAGGTTATGTGTAAATACTATGCCATTTTATATAAGAGACATGAACATCCACTGATTTTGATATTCACTAGGGTTCCTGTAACCAATCCCCTGTGGACACCAAGGGACGACTGTTTATGTATGTGTCTGTGCATGCATGCATGTATATATATCAATACACACACACACATGCATACAACACACACATGTACACACATATCTAGGAAAGCTGAGCACAAAAGGGTGGTTAGTTCTTACCTTTGAATCCACTGTACTTCTTTTAGACTTTCCACCATCTAGAAGCAGAAACATTCAAAAGAGAGCACTGCATGACTCAACTTACGGATACATATATATATAACAGTATCATTTTATGAGACTCCAGCTTGTCTAATATCACATAATTAAACAAAATAATCTTGGGGACTGCCATTTCCTCAGGTCCCAAAACATAATTCTTGTACTGCTGAAGCAGCAAATCAGACCTTGTTATATTATAAATGGTTTCTAGTAACTGATAATAGTAACAACAGAATTCATTTCTGGATATTCTAGCATATGTTATTGCCAGAGAGGCCACATGGAATGCCTTTCCTAATTTTCTAAGTAATCACATTTGAAAACATAATTTTTAAGAAAAAGGCCAGGAGCAGTGGCTCACGCCTGTAATCCCAGCACTTTGGGAGGTTGAGGCAGTTGGATCACCTGAAGTCAGGAGTTTGAGACCAGCCTGGCCAACAAGGTGAACCCCCATCTCTACTAAAAATACAAAAATTAGCCAGATGTGGTGGTGCATGCCTGTAATCCCAGCTACTCGGGAGGCTGACACAGGAGAATCCCTTGAACCCATAAGGTGTAGGTTGCAGTGAGCTGAGATCATACCACTGCACTCCAGCCTGGGTGACACAGCGAGACTCCATCTCAAAAAGAAAAACATGAGATACATTTACACACTTGAAAAAGTTAATAGCAAGTAATATTAGCATAATGATACTTTCTTCCCTACAGCAAGAAGATTGCTAATGGCTTCCTTCATGGAACAGAGTGGGCATCTATCTCGTTTTCACTTAAGATATTCTTGGGCCGGGCGCAGTGGCTCACGCCTGTAATCCCAGCACTTTGGGAGGCTGAGGTGGGCGGATCATGAGGTCAGGAGATCTGCATGGTGGCGGGCGCCTGTAGTCCCAGCTACTCGGGAGGCTGAGGCAGGAGAATCACGTGAACCCAGGAGGTGGAGCTTGCGGTGAGCCAAGATCGCGCCACTGCACTCCAGCCTGGGCGACAGAGTGAGACTCCGTCTCAAAACAAAAAAAAAAAGATATTCTTTGTGGGAAAGACTGGACTTCAAGCTCCCCGCAGGAATAAAGAGAATAAAAAGAAAGAAAAGAATATTTTCTTCCCAGAGAATGGTGATATGAGCACAAAGAACCTAGACAAGGAGATGGTGCACAGGCACTAACCTACACCATCGCACAAATGCAGTCTTTCTGTATGGCTTTTAACTGCAGTCAAGCTGGACAGACTGAGTAACATAGTTTGGATGTCTGTCCCCTCAAATCTCATGTGGAAAGATAATCCCCAGTGTTGGATGTGAGGCCTAGTGTGAGATATCTGAGTCACAAGGGCATATCCCTCATGAATGGCTTGGTGCCCTCCTTGTGGTAATGAGTGAGTTCTTGCTCCAAGTTCAGGCATGATCTGGTTGTTTTAAGAGTGTGGTACCTCCCCACTCCCTCTTGCTCCTGTTCTCACCATGTACCTGCCTGCTCCCTCTTGCCTTCTGCCATTATTGGAAGCTTCTTGAGGCCCTCACCAGGAATAGATTCCGGCGCCATGCTTTGTATAGCCTGCAGAACTGCGAGCCAATTAGACAATTCAACCTCTTCTTTTGTTGTTGTTGTTGTTGTTTTCGGTGGTGGTGGTTGTTTTTGAGACAGGTTCTCATTCTGTCACCCAGGCTGGAGTGCAGTGGCACAATCTTGGCTCACTGCAGCCTCCATCTCCTGGGTTCAAGAAATTCTCTTGCCTCGGCCTCCTCAATAGTTGGGACTACAGGCACATGTCACCACGTCTGGCTAATTTTTTTTTTTTTGAGACAGAGTCTTACTCTGTCGCCAGGCTGAAGTGCAGTGGTGCGATCTCGGCTCACTGCAACCTCCGTCTCCCTGGTCCAAGCGATTCTCCTGCCTCAGCCTCCCGAGTAGCTGGGATAACAGGCACGTGCCACCACGCCCAGCTAACTTTTTTTGTATTTTTAGTAGAGACGGGGTTTCACTATGTTGGCCAGGATGGTCTCGATCTCCTGACCTTGTGATCCGCCCACTTCGGCCTCCCAAAGTGCTGGGATTACAGGCGTGAGCCACCACACCCAGCCTAATTTTTGTATTTTTAGTAGAGATGGGGTTTCACCATGTTGGCCAGGCTGGTCTTGAACTCCTGACCTCAAGTAATCTGCCCGCCTTGGCCTCCCAAAGTGCTGGGATTACAGGCATGAGCCACCAAGCCCAGCCTCTTTTGAGAAAAACATTGTATAAGCAGTAAGTATGTATGTATTTATTTCAGAGACAGGGTCTTGTTCTGTCATCCAGGCTGCAGTGCATCACGGTTCAATGTCTCCTAGACCAGTCACGTTCAAGCAATCCTCCTGTCTCAGTCTCCTGAGGAGTTGTGACTACAGGACATGCCACCACACATGGCTAATTTTTTTATTTTTATTTTTGCAGAGACAGGGCCTCGCTATGTTGCTCAGGCTGGTACCAAACTCCTAGCCTCAAGTGATCTTCCCACTTAGGCCTCCCAAAGCGCTGGGATTACAGGCGTGAGCCACTGCACCTGACCATAAATTATCTTTAAAGAGCTCACATGAATCATCAGATGAACCTGACAGTTAATAAAAAAAGGTGAATATAAATTGGTTAATCAACACATGGAGAAAAAGTACAGCTGTAATAAGAGTAAATATAAATAAACAGGAATACCTTTTTTGCCTTTCACTTTAGGATTTTTTTTTTTGAAAAGAAAATATACCATAGTGGCTAGGACATGATAACGTGCCCACTATTCCTGCATATTTCTGATAAGAATATAAATCCACACAACTCACCTAGAAAGGAATTTAAAAATATCTACCAATATTCTCAAAAGCATTCATATCCTTTGAACCAGAAACTGCAATTCTGAAAACCATCATAAAGAACAGGACTATATGAAGAGAGTTCTATGAGTAAAGAAGTCCACTGCAGCAATATTCATAACCACACAGAAATGGAAATGTGTCTCCTTCAGGGGAAAGGTTGAGGAAATTATAGTATCTGCTTCATGGATATATGATAGGTATGACACGGGCTAAAAAGTAATCAGGCATGCATATACAATTATAAGCATGATTGAATTTTACAAATCAAACGTTCTAGAATTATGAAACAAGCTTAAAAGAAAACATAAATTACTAAAATTCTAACACTGGGAACAAGGAGAAATGACTGTTGTTTTTCCATCTGCTTCAGATTTTCCACATTTTTCTTGAACGTTTATGCATTTTTGTGTAGCTTCCAAAATACAATGCTAAGACGACAACAGATCATGTTTTACTTTCACTTTTACTTAAGAACAAAAAAAGCTTCTACAAAGCAGGTAGCGAAAACTGAAAGCCAGTTTCCACCTTACGGTTTACCTTGTGTCTTCTGAGTCTGGTTGCCTGCTGAAACAGGGTTAACATTAGGCTCCTGGCTCTGACCAAGGACTTTCTCATCCCTGCTGAAGACGATCTTTGGTAACTGGGTACCAGCTTCTGGTGGAGACTTTATTCTTACCCTACATTCAAATAAGACAGAAGGAAAAAAGGTCAAAGCAGTGCCCCTGGCCACTGAGCATGCTGCATGCAGGCCCTGTGCCAAGCTCATGCAGTCCTTATGATGTTCTACAATGTAGATTCTATTACCCACATTCTACAGATACCGAAACCGAGGCTCAGAAAAGTCAAATAACTTGCCCAAGGGCACCAAGCTAGGAAGTAGCTGGACGAGGATCCAGGCAGTCTCTCTTAAACCTAAGATCTTAGCAACCACACAATTCTGAGGTACATCTTTTTCCTTAAGTATCGTGAAAATGCTCAGCAAATTGGTGCACAAGGGAAACAGACAAAACGTAAAGCATCAGTAAGACTTTAGAGTGAAATCCAGGCCAGGCGTGGTGGCTCACATCTATAATCTCAGCACTTTGGGAGGCTCACGCGGGTCACTTGAGGTCAGGAGTTCAAGAACAGCCTGGCCAACATGGCGAAACCCTGTCTCTACTAAAATTACAAAAAAAAATTGGCCAGGCCTGTTGGCACGCGCCTGTAATCCTGGCTACTTGGAGGCTAAGGCAGGAGAATCGCTTGAACCTGGGAGGTGGAGGATGCAATGAGCCAAGATCATGCCACTGCACTTTAGCCTGGGCCACAGAGCGAGATCCTGTCTCAAAAAATAAATAAAGTGAAATCCAGGGAAGCAAAAGAGGGCAGTGGCAATGTTAGCTGCCTGTCTAATATCCATTTCCACCCTCCCGCCTTCTCATGAGACCCACTTTTGTTTACCCCATCCCACCCAGGAGGGGCCAGTGACAGTTCCCATGCCTGAGTGGATGCCCAACCTAAGCTGGCACATTTAAGCACTTCTCATTCTAACTGGGGGAGGAGTCTGCTCTCTGTCCCTTGGCTGGATATGAATGACAGAGCAGAGCCACCTTGTGATGGCTGGGAAACCTGCCTGAGGAAGAAGCTAACACCCAGGATGACAGAGCAGAGAGATGAAATGCACCAGAGTCCCTAACATCAGTAAGCCACTGCAGGCCTGTCTCTCGCCTGCCCCACTGAACATAGGTGAGGTAATCAATATCTTCACTATTCATGCCAGAGTCTAAGTCAAATCTTTTGTTGCTTGCTGCCAAAAGTAGCCTAACTAATACAGGAGACTGTCAGATCAATTTTATTAAACGAAAACAGAGGTTATCACAGAGAATATTTTAAAAGTTAGGGTCTACGATGGTTTTATGACAAAGCAATTTTTTTTTTTTTTAGAAGCTTATTCATTCGTCTTCTTACCTCCAATCTTGTTCATCTCAAATCCATCCTCTTCTGGGCTGCCAGGAGTCTACTTTACAGGCAAGTCTGAGCACGATTCCTACCTTAAAGGCTCCCTCAGCAATTACAAAGTAGGCAGGTGGAAGTATGCTGAACTTGAAAACACACAGTCTGGCCGGGCACGGTGGCTCACGCCTGTAATCCCAGCACTTTGGGAGGCCGAGGCGGTCGGATCACGAGGTCAGGAGATCAAGATCATCCTGGCAAACATGGTGAAAACCCGTCTCTACTAAAAACACAAAAAAAAATTAGCCGGGCGCGGTGGCGGACACCTGTAGTCCCAGCTACTCTGGAGGCTGAGGCAGGAGAATGGCGTGAACCCGGAAGGCGGAGCTTGCAGTGAGATGGGATCACGCCACTGCACTCCAGCCTGGGCGACAGAGCGAGACTCCGTCTCAAAAAAAAAAAAAAACACCAAAACACAAAGTCTGATAATTCATCAAAATTCAACATTTTTAAAGAGGCTGAATTGCCAGAAATCCTCACCAACGATCTCATGAGGCAGATACCATCATCATGAAGTAGGTAAGGACACTGAGGCCCGGAGTCACAGGGCTGATGAGTGGCAGAAGCCATTATTTGGACCCAGTCTTGTTTCCACTCTGCCTTTGCATAGACTATGCCCTCTGCCTAGAATGCTTTTCTTATTCATCTGGTAAAAGGCTACTCACTAGAAAGCTGCTTGGGCCAACATTTTTCTGAAGCCTCTCCTTCCTTTCTACAATTCATGAGTTCTTCCCTTCCACTTCTGTTTGGCTGTGATCACGTGTACTGCCGTTCTGCCTCTCCCATCAAGGACAGGCCCTCTGTCTCCCTAGCCTTGTCTTGAATCTCTGGCACCCAGCACAGTCTTTGGCACATGGCAGACACCCAAGGAATGTTAGCATACTACTAAATTCTTCCCGATTCTACTCTAGGACTGAACTGAAGGAACTTTAGAATTACTTACTCACTTCTGGAGATGTCTAGGATTAGAAGGGTAACAGAGACAGACTGTTTCTTTAAAATACAGTAATTCACATCTTCATCCTGAGAAAGGAAGACCCAATTGTACATCTTATTCATTCACACTAGAACAAGAACAGAAAGTGTTCAGGAACATAGCAAATGAGTGGCTCAAACTCCATTCAAAGTAGTAAACCAGTGGGCGCAGTGGCTCACGCCTGTAATCCCAGCACTCTGGGAGGCCGAGGCGGGTGGATCACGAGGTAAGGAGATCAAGACCATCCTGGCCAACATGGTGAAACCCCATCTCTGCTAAAAATACAAAAATTAGCCAGGTATGGTGGCAGGTGCCTGTAATCCCAGCTACTTAGGAGCATGAGGCAGGAAAATCACCTGAACCAGGAAAGCGGAGGTTGCAGTGAGCCGAGATCGCACCATTGCACTCCAGTCTCGGCAACAAGAGTGAGACTCTATCTAAAAAAAAAAAAAAAAAAAGTAAACCAATTGTGGGTTCTCAAAAATGCTTGGAAGTCAAAGAAGCCACTGCCTCAAGAAAATGATGCCGTGGCCAGGTGTGGTGGTTCACGCCTGCAATCCTAGCACTTTGGGAGGCCGTGGTGGATGGATCACTTGAGTCCAGGAGTTCGAGACACGGCCAACAAAATGTGAAACCCTGTCTCTATTAAGAATACAAAAATTAGGCAGGCGTGGTGGCACATGCTGGTAGTCCCAGCTACTCAGGGAACTGAGGCAGGAGGATCGCTTAAGCCTGGGAGGTCAAGGTTGCAGTGAGCTATGATTGTGTCACTGTACTCCAAAAAGAAAATGAAAATGGCACTGCAAGAAGTAGGGTGTTCCCGTTCAATAGACTGGGCTCAAGTGAAGAGATGAATCAGGTCACACATTTAATACTCACCAGGTAAGAAGAAAAGCCATCATTCTTTGTACGGTCTAGGCTAAATCCAATCTAATGGGGAGTAAAAAGAGTAGAAGTAAATATCTACACAATTGTCCATACTTTTCTTACTCAAAAAGCAGAAAAAGTGGTACTTCTAACGTGGATTCCTCTCAGTTTTCTTAGCATTCATTTTGTAAAGAGGCAAAGTAAAATCACTCAAGTGAAGTCACTAATTAGTAGAATTATTACAGAATTACATTTTAAGTGTTAAAAGAAATTATTTGATGCCTGATATATAACTTGCTACTCACAAGCTTAATTATCTCCATATTCTTGTATTTTATATTTAAGCATTGAGGTTGGAAGGTGACTCTCACCTAAGCTAAAAGAGTAAACCCCTGGGCTGGGCACGGTGGCTCACACCTGTAACACCAGCACTTTGTGAGGCCGAGTGCGGGTGGATCACGAGGTCAGGAGTTCAAGACTAGCGTGGCCAAGATGGTGAAACCCCGTCTCTACTAAAAATACAAAAATTAGTCGGTCATGGTGGTGGGCACCTGTAATCCCAGCTACTTGGGAGGCTGAGGCACAGAACTGCTTGAACTCGGGAGGCAGAGGTTGCAGTGAGCTGAGATTGCACCACTGCACTCCAGCCTGGGTGACAGAGCAAGGCTCAGTCTCAAAAAAAAAAAAAAAAAAGATAAAAAAAAGAGTAAACCCCTGGATCTCATTAACAGGTACTTACAGTCACATCCTTGTCTTCAGGCTCATTCAATGAGAGGCTACTGACATTCACCACCATGTACCCATCCTTGAAGAAGCCAAAGGTGTTCAGATGAACTTTATGCCTCACATCATCCTAAAGAAATTTGTAGTGGTGGAATTAGTTATATGGAAAAGTGCTTTTGATTATTTAACCTATTCATTTGCTTTAAAAACTGTGATATCATGCTGGGCGCGGTGGCTCAAGCCTGTAATCCCAGCACTTTGGGAGACTGAGGTGGGTGGATCACCTGAGGTCAGGAGTTTGGGACCACACTGGCCAACATGGTGAAACCCTGTCTCTACTAAAAATACAAAAAGTTAGCCAGGCATAGTGGCGGGCATCTGTAATCCCAGCTACTTGGGAGGCTGAGCCAGGAGAATTGCTTGAACCTGGGAGGTGGAGGTTGCAGTGAGCTGAGATTATACCACTGCAATCCAGCTTAAGCAACAGAGCAAGACTCTGTCTCAGAAAAAAAAAAAAAAGAAAGAAAGAAAAGAAAAACTATGATATCTCATTTCCTGCTAGCCAGCCAATGTTTCCATATGCTCAGTAACATACACAGCTGTGGTAACATGTCTTTCTCCAAAAGCTGAAGACAACTCATCGGAAATCCAAAAGATATCAACAGTTTCTGCAGAAGGAAGTATTCAATGGATTCAAATTCACTCCAATGCATTGGGATGGGTTCTAGGAGCAAACTCAGTGGTTGGCTGAAATGTGAATTCCAGGGCAGGAGGAACCATGTTTTCGTCATCCCCATATCCTTCCTGATAGTACAATGCCTGGCATCTAGTAGGCACTCAAAACATGCTCGGGGGTGGGAAGGAAGAAAAGGAGTGGCTGAAGTTGTTCCAAGAATACACTCATTTATATAAATCCTCTTATTAATTTGTGTGTACCTGGCTCCTCCCACTGGCAGGATAAATAATGAAGCTAAGCTATAATTCCATTATTTAAAAAGGTGAATTTTCACCTAAAAATGATACAGTAGATGATGGGTTTTCAGGAAACAAAGGCTTATGCAAGAGGAATCCCAGGAATAGGAAATTAGTGACATGGAGACAGAGGCTTTTGGATACAGGATAATCCTAAGGTTTGGTGAGACTGAATCACATGGACAGACGCCTACCCCACCTGCTTGATGCTGTCTCAACATCGTGACTCCAATCTCAACTAAGTCAGTACACTGCAGGGCCAATAGAACAATGGTGTCAGTGAACACTTCTAAAACAGGGCTTCCACAAACACACTTTACGCTATGCAACAACCGAGCTTTATATTGAGATTTGGCTAAATTGCAACACCTTCCATAAGTTTGCAGTTTGATTCTTTGTGTGAAGGGTAACTTTTTATTTCCAATTTGGGGTTTCCTGGACATCACGGGTAGTCCAATGGCAAACACCAAAGGCCTGTGAGGATGGGCTGTGGAGCAGGTCTTCGGCAGAAACGGCATAAACCAAACCCTCCCCCACAGAACTACACCACACTGTACTATCACCAGCAGGATGTCCTTTCCTGCCCACTCTTGCATTCAAGGAACACAGCTTTTTGACAGTCCTAGATTATGGGCTGAGAAGCAGAGGGACACAGTTCCAACTCACCTCCCTGCTCAGGCCTAAGGCTACGGTCCCTGTTTCCCCTCAACATCTGTTAAAAACCCAGGACTCGGCCGGGAGCGGTGGCTCACACCTGTAATCCCAGCACTCTGGGAGGCCGAGGCAGGCGGATCACTTGAGGTCAGGGGTTCAAGACCAGCCTGGCCAAAATGGTGAAACCCTGTCTCTACTAAAAATACAAAAAAAACTAGCTGGGCGTGGTGGCATATGCCTGTAATCCCAGCTACTCAGGAGGCTGAGGCAGGAGAATCGCTTGAGCCCAGGAAGCAGAGGTTGCAGCGAGCCAAGATCATGCCATGGCACTCCAGCCTGGGTGACAGAGTGAGACTCTGTCTCAAAAATAAATAAATAAATAAATAAATAACGAAAACGAACAAAAACCCAGGACTCTGGGCTTCAAGTTTCTGCAACGCCACAGGGCAGCCCTGGCTTCCCTGTTCTTTGCCCACTGGAGTTTCAGCTCCTTCCCTTTTTTGGGCCCCTGGGAATTTCCCTTATTTTCTTAGGAGCTTGGCTATGTGGTGAAAACATGTTTGCTGGATTTCCACTTCCTGGTGGGCTGGAGTGGCTTGCAGCAAACCAACATTCTCACAGAGAACAATCAGAAAAGCCAGATAAGATAACAGAGGTCATCTCCTGGAATCTACAAGAGCGGGTCAATGGTAAAAGCCAGAAAAGCTAAGGCTCCCAGCCTTTCTTGGAATTCTCTGAGAGAATTAAATCCACTGAAAATATCTTCACTATCTATTTTCTCAATTATCTCAAGGACAGTATATGATGACCACCATCCTAGAGGCACATAAGAAATTAACTCAACTACCTAAATGGATGCCTTAGCACATTAGGGTTTCATTCTCTAGCAGAATCCTCAGTGGAGCAGGACTGCAGAGGGAGAGGATGAGGGAAAATGAACACACAGTTCCTGCCACATAAAACGACGTATGTGAATCACAGTCATATTCATGTAAAACAAACTGGAATGCAGGGGGAAATCATCTGTGGTGACGGAGGTGAAGACAGTGACGACTCTCAAGAGAAAGGGGCTTTCCTGGGACTTGAGGGAAGGTGAGGCTTAGGCACGGTGCTTCTGGAGGGGCTTGGAAATGGTTCTGCCTCATTTCCTGCAGGCTGCATGAGTGTGTCTACATTCTGGAAATGCACTGAGTTGTTTATAATGAGTACTTTTTAGCCATATATATTACACTTCAATAAAGTTTAAATTTTAAAAGTATGTTTTTTCTAACTGATCCAGTATGAAGCTGCTTTGTAGCAGAATGGAAACCTGCTAAGCATTTCGTTTATACTTAGTCCACCACAACACAGGTTTTCTAGTTGTTTTTTTTTTTTTTTTTCAGAAAATGTTTCAATTGCAACCTGATAACAGTTTTTCCCCCACATAAATAGTACATTCCTTTACTTTTTTTTTTAACCTTTGCATCATCATTTCATTTGATGATACAATGCCATGAAAAACAGGTTTTTGAAGACTATTTTAAACAACAATAACAGCATCGGCCAGGCATGGTGGCTCATGGCAGTAATCCCAGTACTTTGGGAAGCCAAGGCAGGCGGATCACCCTGAGATCAAGAGTTCGAGATCAGCCTGGCCAACATGGTGAAACGCCACCTCTACTAAATACAAAAATTAGCCGGGTGTGGTGGTGCGTGCCTGTAATTCCAGCTACTCGGGAGGCTGAGGCAGAACTGCTTGAACCCAGGAGGCGGAGATTGCAGGGAGCCAGGTTGTACCACTGCACTCCAGCCTGGGCAACAAAGTGAGACTCTGTCTCAAAAATAATAATAATAAGGCTGGGTGTAGTGGCTCACGCCTGTAATCCCAGTATTTTGGGAGACTGAGGCGGACGGATCACCTGAGGTCAGGAGTTCAAGATCAGCCTGGCCAACATGGTGAAACCCCATCTCTACCAAAAAAAAAAAAAAAAAAATGTAGCAGGGTGTGGTGGCACAAGCCTGTGGTCCCAGCTACTCAAGAGGCTGAGGTGGGAGGACAGTTTGGGCCCACAAGGCCAAGGTTGCAGTGAGCCAAGATTGTGCCACTGCACTCCAGCCTGGGAGACAGAGTGAGACTCTGTCTCAATAAATAAATAAATAAATAAATAAATAAATAAGTAAATAGGGCACGGTGGCTCATGCCTGTAATCCCAGCACTATGTGAGGCCAAGGTGGGCAGATCCCCTAAGATCAGTTCGAGACCAGCCTGGCCAACATGACACCCCATCTCTACTAAAAATAAAAACATTTGCCGGATGTGGTGGTGTATGCCTGCAGTCCCAGCTACTAGAGAGGCTGAGGCAGGAGAATCGCTTGAACCCGGGAGGTAGAGGTGGCAGTGAGCCGAAATTGTACCACTGCACTCCAGCCTGGGTGACAGAGTGAGACTCTGTCTCAAAAAATAAATAAAATAAAAAGCAAGCAAGCAAGCACTGTTGCCAATAATATCTGCAGGACCTTCACCTAACCTGTTCCCCACTTCCATTTTAAGCTATCGTGTCATGTCAAATAAGGTATGTATGGAAGTGACTTTGCAAACTATACCTCACTATAAAAATCATAGAGACGTAGATATCTTGAGACTGGAAGAAAGTACAAGCGAGGAGGATGTGACAAAGCAGCATAAGCACAACAATACCAGATGCAAGCAATGGAGATTCATCTACCGTCTCCACCTCCACCCTACCATTTCTATTAGCACTGACACAGGCAATGGAGATTCAGCTACCGTCTCCACCTCCACTCTACCATTTCCATTAGCACTGACACAGGCAATGGAGGTTCAGCTATATTCTCAATCTCTACCCTACCATTTCCGTTAGCACTGACACCACAGTAAAGGCTGCCTGTTTCATCAAGGATTTCAGAGACTGCAAGCACTTAATCTTGTCTCCAGTACTACACTAAGAGCTTCATATATACACCTCAAGTTCTTCTTACAACTCTGAGGGAAGTAGCCTCAAACATGTGCATTTGGTAGACGAGGAAACAGAGGCTCAGAGTTAAAACTTGCGTAAAATCATAAGGCTAGTAGACGGCAGGGCCAGTAATCTAACTCAGAATTAAGTCCCAAATCTATTCTTTTAACTACCACATACTTTTTACAACCAAATAAAAAGTGTATCAAAGGGCTGGGCGTGGTAATCCCAGCACTTCGGGAGGCTGAGGCAGGCAGATCACTTGAGCTGAGGAGTTTGAGAACAGCCTGGCAACATGGTGAAACCCCATCTCTGCCAAAAATACGAAAAATTAGCTGGGAGTGGCAGTGTTCACTTGTGGTCCCAGCTACTCAGAAGGCTGAGGATCACTTGAACCCACCCAGGAGGCGGAGGCTGCAGTGAGCCGAGATTGCGCCACAGCACTCCAGTCTGGGTGACAAAGCAAAACCCCATCGCAAAAAAAAAAAAAAGGATATACTATTTTGATGTATTTGCTCTTTACTTCCTCACTTTAAAACTAGTTGTT